GACTGTTCTTTTGCGGTCTTAAAGTCAATACGTCCAGCGTCACCACCAACAAAGATGACGACGCTACTCGTTGGCACGAGCATGACGGTGCGTGGATCAAGCAGAACCTTTTCACCTAAGCTCGGTGTCGGTCACCCTATCTCTTCCGTCCTCGATAACGAACGCACTCGAGTTGTAACTCGACTTAAGCATATGAACAAATTGAAGCTTGAAGGGGCGACGCAACGATTTTCATGCTTTGGGCAATTACTGCTTAGAACGGATCCCTGGCGCTATAATGACCTGTGAAACAGCCGTTTGTTGTTCGCCACACGCAATGGAAGTAATAGAAAAAATTGAAGAAAAACGAGCAGCGTTCCCCCCTTCAACTCACAGCCAGAACATGCGGCCACGGGATCTGGACTCGATTATATGCCGCCCATGTTGATCATAGCCACGCGCAGGGGTTGGCAAGGTACAGGACACGCGCTGAGTTCCAGACACTGTTAGGGTTCGGATATTGCCGTCATTGCAGCGATTGGACACGGGCCACTACCCAAATGCTTCCCGAGCTATCGATTATCACGAGCCCGAATTGAGTGCCCACGCAGTGCTCTGGTCGTATCTATAGGCCGCATTCAAATATCTTCACTGGGCGGTACTGCGACCGCCCAGCTACGTCACCAAGTTTTGCGAAGGAGAGAATTAATGAAGATGCTCGGTTTTGTCCTTGAAACTACACCGCAACAAAAGTGTTTCTTGGTCACTGGGGTGGCGTACGAATATCCTTGAGTCCCACTAGTGTCAGTAAGATTGTGTTGAGTGAAAAAAAAACATTCCGATTGGATATCGTTAGACTATACGTATACATTTTTTCCCATCAAAAAAACAAAAACAAAAAAAAAACGTATTTCTACGTGGTGAATGATGTTGATTGGGGAGAAGCGCAAGTGGTGCTGATGATACTGATTTTGTTCATAGGTAGTGCTGACAATGCTGATTTTTTTTTTTATTGTTCATAGGTTATATACGCATTTGAGCATTTGACCGCAGCGCCCTCTCGTCTATAAACTTTGAGGCAATGCATGCAAAGTTTAACGCGATTATATACGCATTTGACCCCAGCGCCCTCTCCTGTACAGACGCTGAGCGGCTGCATGCAACGTTTCATCCATGACAGAAACCCCAGCACTTCAGTTACTACCACATCTCAGAGCCCTTTACTCGTCTGGCAGTAGTAACCGAGTGGTTAAGTCGATGGACTAGAAATCCATTGGAGTCTCCCCGCACAGGTTCGAATCCTGTCGACTGCGCAAATATATATATATTTTTTTAAGAAGGTAGATAAGATGGCAGTCGATGTGAGCACGGACGCCGGACAAGAGTAGACCCTAAGGAGCTTCGCCCCTAAAACGCCACAAGACATGGATAGAGGCCCCTTTTCTAAGATATGCGTATCCTAAAAACAAAGAAGAAAAGGTTTCTCGATGCTTGGTTACGTTCTTAACGGAAAGAAAATATTTCTTTTACCATATAAAGAACGCAATCAAACATCATTACACGCCACTTTTCAGAAATATATCTATAAAAAGGGGCCTGCCTCGACGTCTGATTGCGTTCTTAACAGGCCCGAAAGGGAACGCATGATTAGGAATTTTGGATTTACCTGGATGATTAGGGCGCGTACGTTAAGCATGCGGCGCAAAAGGTGACGATCTAGAAAAAAAAAAAAAAAACACCTTATAGTCGCTGACATATTAAAAAAAAAACGTGGGGCGTGGGTAATTGTGCTAACGACTCTTGCTTCGTGATAGGTTATTTGGCGTTCTCATTAGCAAATGCTGCAACCTGATTGGATGCGGAGCTAAGATAAGATTCTGGGGCGTCGCCACGTGTTGCATTTTCTCAGCTATCAGCGACTGTTATGCGCCTTTAAATAGGGCCGGGCGTCGATTGAAAATCGTAACCGTATTGGTCGCCAGCCTTTAATCTTAATCGATCAAGCGGTCTCTTTAATTTCCTTGCAACACGTTTTTATAAGTAAATACTTTTATTTTCGTGCCTTGTTGTAATGCGATAAACGACTCCATATGCTATTTCGATTATGAATCGATCTCGGTGTATAGTTGTAACAGGTTCGCTCACAATTACATATTATTACCTCAGCGGCACGAGGCGATGAGGTTCGTTAACATTCCCCGGCATGAGCGACCTCCTTCAATTGTTCACTCTAGTCTCTGTTGCGCTGAACAGCAGCCCCACTCCATCGGGACACTGTTGAAGTGTCCAGGATCCGTGTAAGCGTCTGCACTTGTCCGGAGTTACATATCTTGCAGTATACTTTAGGTTTCACCTAGAATTTGGCCTCCAGACAGGTGATCTCATCCACATGTGCTTGATGAAAGATTCAAATTGTAACTTTTTTTTTTTTTGGTTCGGGAATTTTTTTTTGAATGACATGTTAAAAAAAGGCCAGGATTAAAACATGAATTGATTAATCGCCATGTCAATCAAACAATTTCCCTGCCGTATACCTTTATAATAGGAAGTACTTTCTATGTTTTAAAGCACGAATTCTGCGGGCTACTCGGGATCGACAAGAACCGCGCGTCTTACGGGAGACAGGGATACTAGGGAGTTTTAGAATAGCGTCAAGACCCTTGTGTTAGCCCTGCGTGCGACGCACTCAAGCTCTCAGCGGAACACCGCGGAGGGCATCAAACCAGCGCTTTTAGTGCAGTGGAACGAGAAACGCTTACACAAGCAGTTGCATTATGGTGCCTGGAACGCGTCTTCGACTGGTATGTTTACCGCGGCCAAAAAAGTGGTCCCTCGATTTCCGCCTGATGACGTCATAGAAGTGTAATGTTGTCGCCGGTCGCGATCCTGGCGGCGTCTCAACAGTTGTGATGTATGTGGCAGACGCCTGTTCTGCTGCATGTCGCTCTCCACTGTGACAGTTCACGGAAGCCAGAGCAGCCGGAAGTTGGGACGCCTGGGACGCCGTGACGACAGCGACACTCGCGTTCGCTCGTGCTTTTCGCCAGCATTTCTACGGCCAACCGCCAGGATCGCGACAGGCAACAGCATGACACTCCGGCTTCTGTGACGTCATTTGTTGCCACTTTGGGACCACCTTTGATGTATGGGCGGGATAGGACGCTAAACACACCAGTCGAAGACGCGATCCAGGCACCACAGCTGCATCGCCATTAAGATATGCCCGTGCAGACTGCTCCAAGCGACCTAAGGACGGTGTTCGGTCAAGCCAAGCTGAGTCTCGCGCTGTGTCGCGTGCGACGAGAGCAAAGAGATGGGAAGGCAGAAAACCGCAAAGTACGAACGCGAAAATCGATAGCAAGCGTATACGTACGTAAAGCTCGCTGCGTTCCATACATACGAGGCACGCCTAGTGCGGAGCACGCGACGCTTACGCAAATAGACAGTGCTTGCGTTTGCCACTGTAAGCACTACTAGAACTCTCTATTGTCCTATAAAGAAAATAGCATCTCTGCAGATGACATTTTTTTTTTCTCGGAGAATTGATTTATCTCTTTTGTGTGTCGCTACATTTCTTACGTAGGACCCAATGTAGCTACATGCGTGCGCTGCGGGAAAGTAGATTCGCGGGCCTTGTTCATAAGGAGTGCGCGGATTACTTCAGTAAATGCGGTTGTTTTCTGAGCCTCGTCATTCTCTGCGACGGATGAGTGGGAAATAAACACCTTCCTCTTAAAATAAGTATAAAATTACAAATTCAATATATATTAAATTAACGCGGTTATTTGCGATGTGCAAGACAGATCTATAATATGAATAAAACACTTTTTGTTTTTTTAAATTTTGCCACGTAGTAGTCACTCAGTGGTGGAAGCCAAAGCTAAAGAGAAGCTTTATTGTATTCCGAATTTAGAAACAACAGAGAAAACGTAATTTCAAGCACCTTAAATGTTTGGCGCGAAATTTTTTTTTTTAATTATATGGGCAGGAGAGACGTAATCCCCAATTAAAATTTGTCAAAGACCGATCAGCCGCTGCACGCCGAGCGAAGGAGAGCGCGAGAGAAGAGGGTAAAACTAGCACAAGGGACGTCGTCCGTTGATTTTGATGAGATCTGCTCAGTCCTAAGCTGGCTCGGCGATGCCAAGGATGACCTGACAACGCCCTCGACATCGAACAGGTGACAGAAAGCCTCGCCGCATCGCTTGCGGGAATCCCTGGGCGTTGTTATGAGAACAAAGGCAATTTACCTTTAGTTTAGACCAATTCAAGTGCGATAATACAATTCGCAGGACAAAAGACCACATGAGTCTGCTGGAAACTTAATTTTCTTGAAACGTGATATAGCACTGCCAGGTCAAGTCTAGTTAATTAAAAATGTGCTTTTGTTTTGAGATTAGTTGTAAGTTAATAAGTGGTTTATTCAAACAGGGGTCCCAACGTTTTCAAAGAAAACTGTTGAAGAGACCCTTTGGTAACGAAGGCTTCCTTAGCGACCAAAGTTAGTCCCACATTTAACACCAATCAAAGAAAAACGGTGTAAATAAAAGAAGTTAAAGTTAAACAACGTAAATAAGGATTTGAGGAACGTACATGATAAAACACTCAAATTAGAACTATTTGAAAAAAATAGACGGAATAACACTTTACAATCCCAATGCGGAATCAAAAACAGAAAAAAATCTAATAATAAAAAAAAAACCTTTAAAACTCAAGAAAAAAAAAGAAAAAAAAACGAGACACGAAATAAGTCTGGGGAAAAGACAGTGACTGTTTATGTACGTGTATTAGCTATGTGAGTGCAATGGACGATAGTGGACGGATAGACACAGAACATGCTTATGATACAGACTGTGTACTCATATCGCTTTTATGAACGAATGTAAAGATGACATGGCAGTTATTCTTCGTGATCGGGAGTCCCATGTTTTGGTTGTGATTGTAGAAAATGCATGATGCAGACTCTATACCGGGAATAAAACTTTCACGAAGAGTTGACAAAAAACCCTTTTTTTTTAAAGATAAACTTGCGATACGAAGACACATCCGACCCGTTTATCCAATTTATGCTGGTACAAGTATTGGTGGCGAAGAGGGTATGTTTTACAGAAAAATTGTATAATTTGGTTCCTATGCTTATAATCAATAGTTAATTTCGTAAAAATTATTCTAATTGTTTTTTATCTTCCCAGAGTGATCCAATTTCACTCACAATGTACGAGGATGATGTGAACAAAGCGAATACGAAGAAATTATACATGCAATCGGGTAAGACTCTACAGAGACTAGCGGAGGCCGTAAAGGATGGAACGGTCAAAACTTCTGCGGATGTGGCGGTCCTGATTACAGCGTGAGAAACTTCTTCACATGACCTTCTCGCTCTTCTTACTGCATTTCGTTTTGCGCATCATTTTTCATAGTGCGGCACGTTCTGCCATTGTACGACGGCACCCATGGTAAAAAGCAATACTCCAAAAGTACTATTTTTATCTTTCCTGAAACAATTAAAGAACTATTCTTCAAATCCATGTTTAGTTTACAAATAGTATACTAAATATATACATTTAATGTGAACGCCTTAATGGTCAGGCTGGTTTGACTAGGGGATTGCGCCTCTAGAGTGTGAAGTACGCTAAAAGTATTTTACAAATAAACTTCAAATTATGAAAGCAGGCTAGAAATATACTTTAAGCCTACATTTTTGTTTCATAAATGTACAACATTAGTATAGTATTAAGGTGCTGCTTCTTACCAAGAGTGTTTCACATCAGTGCAGCCATATTTTGTTACGCATTAAAATGCAGTATCTAAGGGCAGCATGATTGTGTGACAGTAAGTCTAGAATAAAACCAGGTTTTGTTTCTGTATTGGTCCATTGCAGACGTCGTACTCAGTTTCAGCCACTTCAGCGATCATGTGCGTGTGATTGTATCCAACACAAACACGGGAAGGTAACCAAACGTACAGTCGTGGTTGAGTGAAATGGGTCTCCGCGTGTGCGTGGCCTAGGATGACTGATATGACACTAACGCTGCGGTCAGAAAAAAGGTGATGCGGTATGCAGTCACACCTCTCTCACACGGAAAAGTTAATGTCAGTTTCATCGAAAGAGATTTGTGTGTTCAACAAATCGGCTCGCGACTGTCGCGCATGGCGCGCGCTGATTGACAGATCGCTCAAACGTCATTTCATGGAAATGACAAGAAACTACCGGTCTGACAGGGGTATTAGATCACATCAATACTCGCCACTGGATGTTCACGTGTCACGACTTCAGCGCTATATTTACTCCGATGTCTCGTGGCATTTGTTGTGGCTCGCGTGATCATCACCTGCTAGCGTTCACATTTTTATGCCACCGTAAGTCTAGCGTGGGACGCCAAGCCTTGCTGGTCGCATCACTAGAGCCGAAGTATTAAGCCTTGTCCACGCAGAGGAGGGCTCGTGCCAACGGCACTTTTCTGGTGTGCTGTACACGCTCACGAGGTCAATCCGACAATTCTATAAACGAAATAAATTCAAATTACATGCATCTATATGGGGTCATACTCCACTTGGCCATAAAGGCGCGAAGAAAAGGAGACAGAAAGCTACCACCTATCCAAGTGTGCAGCAGAAACTTGCGCGGCGCCGAGATTTGAAACCAGAAAAGAGGATTAAAAGCACGCAACTGCAGTTGGGAATTGCCTTGATCGCCATCGGTTGTATGACATAAGAATCTAGGGCGAATTAACCGGACCGTTGACGGTCGGTACTCTCGAAACCAGCTCACGCACCAGATTCATGGTTGGCATCACAAGGGGGCGCGCGGATCTCTCTAGGCTGCACGCTCGTTGTGCCTGCTCTCAATCAATAATGACTCTACAACATCACACGTACAATACTAAAAGTATGTTCATTACTTTGTTTATTGAGACCTTCAAAACCCCGACCATCGGTTTTGAAGTAGGGGGGATCGGTGGCCGACTGCGTTAGCGCTTCGCAGCTCAGAGCGCGGGGATCGAAAGTTCGCGATGCAGAACCCAAGGAACCTGGGTCTAAACCTCACTCCTGGCCATTTCGATCTGAATGAGCCTGGTAACGGCGTGCGGTCATGTATCACTACTGCGTGGTGCACGTTAAAGACCCCAGGCTAGCCGTTGTACCGCACTGGCTAAGTTTCTCGGCTACAGCTGAGACACCTGAGGCCCATTGAGGCTGTCTATCCTACCGACTGTATGAACATACACACAGCGTAATTATTATGAAATTATCTACTCCGCGAGTCGAAATAAGACTAAGGATAGTCACAGACTTTTTAGAAAACGAAAGGAGGGGCCTATTCGAATCATGTTTCTTGGTTGGTAATGGGTTCTCCCGCGCTCTTATCACCTAATGCGGCAACATGATTGGCTAAGAACGAAGATAGGACGCAAGGGCCTCGCCACGATCTGCGCTTCTTAATCTGTTAATGACTATATTCAATATAAAACTTTTACTACTAATGGTTTTACAAGATTACAGTACGCTTTGGCATTGTTCATCAACGGGACACTGACTTCCCCCAGAGTTTATTTTTACTTTTTGCCAGGTGATTGAGCGTAGTGTCAAAAGACACTACGCTCAATGTTTTTTGCTTGGTGGTCGGGCGTGTGGTGCAGAATTAATCCTAGCTGTTTTAATCGGTAAACGATTTCTAATTTAAAGCTCGACAGATTTGCCGGTTCCGCGAACGACAGTTCTGAAGTAGAGGTCCCTCACCGCCATCGCTTAGACCTCTTCGGTCCAGGCAACGACCCTCGCGATCCCGAGATACAGCGCCTTGTTGAGAACTGTGCAGTGCATGGGCTCCCGGCGCTCTGCACCTTTTCTTTTTAATCGACGTATTTGCAGGTTATTGAGAAGCCACAAATAAATGGGTCTAATATTTTTTTATACTTAATATTGAGTGTGTGCCTTCGATAACCCACGAATTTGATTATATTTGGTGGCTCTGTTTGAACCGCACGTGACGACGGAGAAGAGAGTGAGCGCGGATCAAACCAGCCAGTTCGCGATCGGCAGTTTTCGGGAGTAAAAAACCGACTTTTAAGCTGCCAATTGTTGTTTTGGTAGCTGGGCTCTCCTGTGCCATGTACATATGTACGTACTTGGCGAGAATAAATACTCTGTCAGTGTCCCTTTAATGAAATGGAAGCGAAAGCGATGAACGTCTTTGGAAATTCAAATCATATGTTACCAAACATTACATTACCTACAATCCAAGCTTTCACGTCCAAGCTGCAATGTGTAATGCCTTGATGGATCTGAAATTGCTTTCTGCGTCGCAAGCTTGCATCAGTGAAATGGTAGTTGTGCTTGCGTTTTTGCTCTTGCTCCTGCCTTGCAGGTATTTAATATTGCAATTACGGGAGCAGCTGCGCGCTTGTTCGTGATGTATTTTAAAGTGCTTTTTTCGTTTTTTTCTTCATGATGTTGCTATTCCTCCAAAGTGTGTGAAGGCACCAGAACTTGTTAAGTTGCAACAGGAGCTCTTTGTTCATGGTTTAATTCATTTTGTAGAATCCAAGAAAGAAAATAGAAGCATGTTCTTCTACTCCTTATTATGAATTAATATCTTAAGGCGAATCTTGGCCCACGGAGTACGACCACTGGGCAGAAAGCAAATTTAGGCCACACAACTCTCAGCTCTTTGCGGGAGCATAGGAACCAGATAATGCTCAAGGCGAGCCTTAATCCATTCCTCACCAACGGAAAGGACGGTTCGACCAAGGACCCCCAAAGCATGCAGGCTCATGACAGCGCACGCTTCGCCGGCCTAAGCTTATGGTGGCATTTCAGTATGGACTCGTAGCAAATCTGGACCGTTTACTTTCCCGCAAAGCACAGCAGATATCAAATAGACGAAATGACGAGGCCCAAAATATTTATGGACCATAAAATAAACCAAAAAGAAGGAAAACACTGAATGTGGTGAAACCTGATGCTCCGTGTCTAACTGTTCTTATTTTAGTCTTGTCATTGATCGAGCTCTTTCCGTAGATTGCAGCGATTGGTTCTCCTCGGTGCTTTGTGGGAAGTACACTGACCGGATTTGTCAGAGGGGGGAGGTACGACAGCACTGAAAGGGCGTGTTTAAGATAACTAGAAAAACGGCTAAAGAAAAAAGAAATTGGCAGTGCTCTGTTCAGCCTTGATGAAAGGAAAGCTGAAGAGGCTGTTGAAAAAACCAAGAACAAGAACAACGAATAACAGATGAATTCTTGCGAATTTTTAACCCGTGAATCTGAATATCACGTTTCTTTTATCGGAAGATGTAATTAAACGCGAGAAAACGCAAAACGAAAACCTCCGATCAGTCGTACCGTCATACAAGGATCTTTTGGGCCGCCAAGCGCGTGCCGCTCGTGTGGGCGGTGCGTGCAATTGCAAGCTTGCCAGGTATATTCCACCGCCACGGCCGTGCCACCACACTGACACTAGTCGTGACGTTTTTTTTTGTTTTTTTTTTTAAGCTTATTTGACGGGTGCCTAGCTCCGATAGGCGCTGAAAATGCGCGAGAGCGGAGATTCCGAAAACTTCTAGTATGGCGTCATGCTCCGGTAAGGAGCGGCTTCGAGGTACTTTGAAAGTAATTTTCTGCAACGTCCATGCGCGAAACAAAAAGAAAAAATCTCGACATTCGTGATCTTGGAGGCCAAATGAAGACGATTTAGGTTTTTTGTTTTTATACGGGACAGCTTCAGCTTCCCTTTAAGACCTTGTTTTTAATACGAAAAGTCTCCAGCGTTAAGGAAGGTATCGAAAGCACAAGCTGAGCGTTGGGCCAACTGGGTTCGTGCTCCGCGCGCCTGGCACTTCTCTTGGACGCGGATAGATGGCGCCAAAACGAGGGGACCTGCTTTTGCTGAAAGTTATTGAGACCAGACTTGGGTACGTGTTACTAAAAAAAAAGTAAGGAATTACATTTGCAATTACCCATGGCCAAATGTAACTGATTACAGTTACAATTAAACATCCATAAAAGTAAGTGATTGTTACTTCAAAAAATAATTCGTTACTTTCGCGGTGTTAATTTCAACCTTACTGTCCATGGGTAAGAAACAATACATAAGTGTTATGGAAGCGTTTCTTCTTGCCACAACTCACACTTTTGTGAGCTTGAGCAACATCTGGCTCTCAAAAAGTCCCATCAGACATCTTACCTCGTTCGTATCTGAAGATGTCGTCCGCTACACTAAAAACCTATTCAATCCACCTTTTTTAAAATAGGTGCTGCCACCTGAATGCACGGCTGATTGGTTAGAAAACAACGCGTTCGCAAGGCCTTTTCTACCTGTTTGACACCCAAAACATCAGCTACATCCTGTTGGCCCATTGAGACGCTGTGTCCTAACTACGGCTGCACAAAATTTCACTATATATATATGAGTACAGGTTTTAGGTTACGTGAAGAAAGGCTTTGAGCATCTAAAGAATGCCACGCCTTGGGTTTTGTAATAGCAGGTGACGGCGCGATTCCGGTAGAGCTTACGTTGCAAAAGAAATATTTTTTACGATTATTTGGGGATTATTCAAAGTTTCCTCATTTTTCTTACGGGAATGAAAACAAAGATGTAACAGATTACAATCATTCCCTTACGTAAGAAAAGTAAGGAAATTATTTTACAATTACTTTCTGTATTATGTCACTATTCCCTTAAAAATTACTGATAAATGTAAGGGTTTGCAAGTGATTGCGTTACTTGTAACGGATTACGTACAAGCCTGCTTGAGACACTTTTCTGTATGAAGATTAATCACCTAAATGCGCTGGTTACACCGTGAGCGCTACTGATCGCATTGTCGCCGCTTAACATTGGGTTCCGGACGACTATATCCCGTGGTAGTAATATATTTATGAGAGTAATTTATGGGTGATAGAAAAGGAGGAAGCAAATGATCATATGTGTTCCTGCTGACCGTGCCCGGCTGCCGACATAAAGCATAAAAAAGGGCATTTGTTTAGAGTTCAAATCTTCCAGGAAGTTTTCCCTCAAGAATGCGTTTAATAAAACGAGGTTGGTTTATTTATATAAAACCAGCTCTTGGTAGCTTTCCGAGCGCAATAATTTGACATTATATTTAAAATGTATATGCCTTTGTTCTCAGTAAGGATTGAACTCGAGTAGAAGTATTAACTGCGCTTTTTTGCATTTTTCAACAGACTAGATCTGGCAGATAAGGAAAATGGCAAAGTGGAAAATGGTGTCATGGGTTAGTATAGAGTACCCTTCATTGCTTTCGTTTCCCATATGGCTAAAACTATTTTTATTGAAGCAAGTTCATTTACTGTTCCTTTAAAGTTAAAACCTTTTTTTTTAATAGGTATAAACACGACATTCATTAAAAGGTTCCTCTGAGCAAATTTTGCAACCGAAGCCTTACGTAGTGAGGTGCCGACTCGCCCAAAAGCACCAAAATGGCAGAACCAAGCAAGTTGTTTGTGCGCATTGTATACAGTCTGCAACGCAGTTAGTGTAAACACAACTTTGGTCCTTTTATGCATTTGTCGTGTTTGGATCAGCGTCCAACGACAAATGTCACCGCATGAATTGGTGCCCCACAGCAATATTCCAGAAGGTCGGATGTATTGTTGACAAGCTCTTCAGCGTTGAACCGCACAACGTTCTCGATGGGGCGCTAATTCACCTGTCGCCGTCGCACTTCCTTATGAAAAACGCATCTGAAATTTTTCTAGTCATTTTGTTACGATTCCTGCTCAGGATAAGTTTCCTGAAGCTTTGGACCACAATCGCATCGGTTGCAGTGTATCACAACATTATCCGAGGGCGAAGATCTTACTGCCAGTGCGTGTTTCCTTAGCCTGTCGTTTCTGGACTTTCCGGCTTGTCCTTTGTAAACCCACATGTTAAAGGTATTGTACGGTTCGTAGGTGGCGTATCTACAGTCCTTTGCTAGCTCAAGCTAGAAATGTTATATGTAGATTGTATGACAATGTGTTTACATGACGTGGACAGTTGTTGATGAGGCATATCTGTTTCTTCTTTGGTTTAAGTCAGATTAAATCTCAAACTGCTGTGTGTGTGTCTTCTTCTGCTGGTACTCGTTTTTAAGGCCTTTTTATCCTGCGAAGTATTTCGCTTTGCTTTTCCATTCATTGCCAACTTCTCATTGACGGAGAAAGGAGGTCACATGCACCAAATATGAGCATCGCTCGCGGGAAGTGGCCCTGCTGAGCGCCGGGTTCGGGCGGGATATAGGTATTGCTCCGCGTTTGCGAAAGGTAGATCTTAATCTGAAGTCTGACGAGCAGGAAGCGGTTCTTGAACTTTCGGACATTGTGTGTTACTTAAACGTTTTTGATTGGCTTTTTTTTAGAACACAGGACTGCTTCAAAACGATCGTGAACAAACGAGGCACAAAATTATCGCAGGCACGCGTAACGGACCCAAGTTGACTTGGTGCGAAGCACATTTTGCACTTTGAGTTCTCGAAAGGTAGACTTTGCACGGTAGTATGACAATCGGGGAACTTAAACACTCGAACATTGTGTCATGTACCACGTGAATACTGTGAAATTTCGTGTTTTTGATAACGTCAGCGATGTTTAGAACACTGACGGAGCAGACGACGGGAGCCGACGACAGGAGTAGGCACCTTCCGAGCTATTGAGGACGAGGCAGGACACGTACGGCTTCGCTTGCGCAACGCGTGTCGTGCCTGTCGCGCTCCCTGCCAGAGCGGCAATCAACACTTGGAGACGAAAATTCAAGACCGTTGCCATATTGTGATCTGCAAGCAATGCAGTAGCGTGGCGCTATCGTGATAAACTGCATTGCCGACTGGTGTGAGGCGGCAGAGCGTAGGAACAACTTCATGGTAATCCTTCCTGGGTTTTACGGTAATATTTAAGTCAAACGGTATAGCGCGAGATTTAATTAACTTATTATGTATGTTTATAATTTGGAAATTATTAAGTTATTCTGCGGGGCAGTTAGCACGCGGACGACGTTACATTTTTGTAATCTTTCTGAGAAGGATACATTTTAGTGCTTAGATTGTTACTAAGAATGAACACATTCCACCACGCTGAAGACATGCACCGTTGCTTATTTCTGTATTCCAAATACACAGACTAGTTAGTGCCCACCAGGGATGGGCAAAATATACGGAAATATGTATCGAAATACAAATAGAAAATACTTCGTCGAAGATGTATTTAATTACAAATCTAATTACATTTCCAAAAAAGCATTTAAGTACAAGATACAAATACAACCAAATGTATTTGGTCTCGTACAAATACTTTTCCAAATACATTCGTCAAAATTTGCGTCAGCGATTTCAGGGCACCTGCAACGGGTTTCTGGGTACCTCATTTTAATTTTGCATCGCACACTCGGGAGTTAGTGAGCGAGGCTCTAGTTACGTAATAGAAATATAATCACAAAAAAAATGTAATCAGCTTGGACGTAATAGGTGATAAAAGTACAGAGCTTCAAGCATCTTTTTTTTGTCGATTACAGTTTGGGATAGACCAACAAAGAACCGAGACGACCAAGATGCGCAGCACTAGCTAGAGAATATTTTATTGTTGCAACTCGCACCAGTTACGAAAATCTGGACGACACGCTCATACAGATTGTTCCAGGCAAAAATATGGAAGGAAATCAGACTGGAAAGCATCACAAGTTGTCACGGGCACTTATTTAGCCAGTCTGCCTGTGAACGTCGATTTCGTCACTATTCTTGCCCTGGACTAGCACCGTAATCACAAAGTCACTAAACGCTTGTGCTTGACTGAGAGACACTGCATTCGGTGCAAAACATAGTTTTCTTCCTGCTCTGGACAGTGACATTAAATTTGAGGGATGTATTTTCGCCCACAAAATTGTGTTTAATTACAATTGTATTTGAAATACCCACGTTTTAGTATTTAAATACACACGTCAAATACATTACCCAATTTGTAATTAAAACAAATGCCAAATACACAAAGTATTTGAAATACTGCCCATCCCTGGTGCCCACATATGCTTTGTTCAACTTCACACACTTTGCTCAATAGCGCAGGATATTGAAACTAAAATATAAGATTATAATTGTAATAACAATATAAGGTTTCAGTTGTTTTTATTTTTATTATAATCCCTAGCTCTCGCGCAGTTCTAATGTAATAATCTAATGTTGTTTGTCTTGCTCAGTGATATGCTTGTGTTGTCATGACAGTTCTTTGCGTTCGGTCAGCACTATCTATTTCATTTATTTCATTCGAACAAGTTTGCATAACTGTTTAATCAGCCAGATAATGCATTTCGAGGATAATCTAGGGTTAAATCAAAAGTGTGTATCGAAAAAAAAATCTGGAGGGTATTTTTATTATTTTTATTGAGTGGTGATATAAATGTCCTAAATGTTTGCGTCTAATTACTAAGAAAGGCACATGATATTCATCACTTAGGCGAAGGTACCTATTTATTCTGCAAATGCTCATACCAGCAACTGATTTTCTTTTTTAGGTGTGGCGTACGTCACTGCCGTGTGCAACCCAAGTTTACGAGCTGCTCTTGCCGAGGACCACGCCTACACATTTTCCACGGTTGGCGTGACTGCACACGAACTTGCACACGCGTAAGTTGATGCGCCTAATACAAGGTTGGAAGCGGACAATGATACTTTACGGATATAGGCAGTCTGGTAACACCAGCGTATTTAGGTTACAGTACCCATGTGGGTCAACCACGCAATGCATGAGGACTTTTTTTTTAATAAAATACAATAAGCAAAAACCTCAAATCAGGAAAACATAAGGAGACTTGAAAATGACACACACACAAACACACTTACACAAGCACACATGCATACACGTGCGCGGGCCCACGCACATCCACAGTTACACACTTACGCACGCACATACACGAACGCACACACACAAATGCACATACAAGAACGCACAAATATACACACTGTTTTTGTCTGTCTGCATCTCTTTTTCGGTGGCTTATTCGTGGTTTTTATGTCAGTTTTTAGTGGCGTTTTTTATCACCGGCTTGCCTACGCACTTTCAGAAAACTATGCTATAGGCTTCTATCCTTGCAACATTAACGACCTTGTCACCTAGTTGACCGAGATGTGTAGCCTAAGGCCACAATATTGACACTTAATTTGCTTGAATCACTAGAAGCATGACCTTGGACAATGTTAAAGAGAATGTACAAGCTACTAGCGTGAGTAGTAAATGTGGCTCCTGGACAGATAATACGTCTCATTTCCGAATAATTTTCTTTATGCCAGTTCGATGTCCTTAATTGACTTTTCGACTACAGGCTATTTAGAGGTTAGGAGACGTCTTTTAGCTAAGGCTGAGTATTACCGTTTTCAAAAAAATAAAATTTGGCGACAAATAATTTATACTTTTGATGACAATCTTTCTAACAACCTATTGATGCAGCGGCTTATTTATATTTAAGTTTCTGTAGCATAAGTATTAAAGACTTCCGAGCGTTGGTATGAGAAGTGCTGAAAAAAACTGTTGAGTCTGTATTGAAAGTATCAACATTGCTCATGTAGTGATTAGAGAAGGAACAAACTGTGCAACATGGCTGTGGCTATAGAATACATGTAAGCAAAATGTGATATTAGTTTGAGATGAAACACGCAGAGAGACTAAATATTCACGGAACTACTATGAGAGGTAACGCTGGCCATGATAGGAAACTTCAAATCTTTCCGAATCCTTCTGGCATGAAGTGTACTTTTTTTGTCGGACATAATATTACAAAAGCTGTTTTTGGTTATTATATTTTATATGTATGAAGGTGCAGATTTTTTTGTACATCACTTGGCAGAGGCTCTTGCTGCAGAACTTTGCTATGCTATAGTTTGTGTTCGGTTTTAGCTCGTTTTTATTTTCAAAATTCTACATAGTTATATCAACTGCTGTGCAAAAAGGAAAACAAAAATTTCAGAGGTTTTGCGCGCATAAAATTTCACATCTTTTTAAATCGTGCGGTATTTTCCTTAACGCAAGACCTCACGCTCTTTGTCGTGCGTTCCGTTTTATGTGGTCTGCGCGCTTACTATGCTTAGAGTAATCCTGTCAAGGGAATACGCAACCTCCATGTAAAAGGGCTAACGTGTGTTTTCGGTACAATATGACCACAAAATCCGAGTGGTAATGTCATATTTATCCACCAAGATGGCGTCTACAAAAAAAAAAGAAGAAATATGCATGGACAAGTACAGAGGAGGCAAGACTCAACAGGCTCTAGCCATCCTCTCATAACAAAAAAAATCTTCAAATTAATAAAAAAATTAAATAGTCATTACGTTCGATGATTGTAATACCCGCTTCACACGGGCAATATAAAGGTAGCTTTAACACAGGTCCCTTTGCAATCGGCGAATCAGCTCGTGCTTTTGGGTCGCGAGCACACGCCACGCGCGGAGCTTTGTGAATTGATTCGCCGCAGGGTATAAAGCTCTCTTAGCTAAAGGTACCGTTATCATCGCGCGAATGGGGTATGAGATAGACACGTACATTCCCTATTTTTTTTACGACTTTTATTATAGCACATACAGCGTATTTTGTATTAGTTCCTCTGGATTTTAAGTCTCATATCTAGGCACGCAAAAATCTGTTTCTGATAGCCTCCCCTTAATGGCTTCTCGCGTTCCGCTTATGTTTGATCGAGAGTTTCCTTGAGAGCTGTTTAACAGAACACAATCGCTTGGCTATCGCAGACTCGGTAGTGTTCACGACGGAGAGATACCCATCTTTGTGACCCTCGGAAAGACACCCAAGATTTGTGACCCAAGGGACGGACACACAATGGCACCTACAGCTGGCGGCGCACGTTTCGGGGTGTTCTCTTCGTGTTCCCTGGACGAAATGTCGTCTTTCGCCGGGTAAGTCATCAGCGACAACAGCTCTCCAAAAGCGAATCTCATACTACGGCTCCAGAAATGCCCGTATTTACAATGCTTCACGAAGAACGGAAAGCTACAATCGGAGAGTTTTTTTTTTTACAGATTGAATTAGCGAGGAAGCGAGCTGAATCATACTCAGATCGAAACGTTGTCTTAATGGCGAGCGCGCACCATAGGATTATCACCCGCGTGTTCACGCCGACACCCTCGTGCCTGTAGCTCGAGTGGTACATTTAGTGCACCTTCGCACTTGCAGCGTGCTTGAAGTCTGTCTAATAATTACTGATTTAGTGGTTTTCGATGACATTCAGCATCTTTCTAACCAGAACCAGATGTTTATTTTTGACCAGTCGGAAAGTTTGTAACAAATGTTCGGTCAATATTTTTTTTAGCATGACGATTAGTACCATATATTATAACCCGTTGGCCGTATAACTCAACTGCACTGACGATATTTGTAAACCCCTCGAGGCTTAAAAAGAATCAGTTCGATACTAAAATAAAAATCCCTGTATAATGATCGAATGAATGTTTTTTCTTGCTATTTGCAATACCTGCTTAATCACAAACAAAATAGCTCGATTGAAACAATAATTCGAGAGCAATTTCAAAATCCACATTTTGACAGCATTTATTCACCGATTCTTAACAAAATGATTGAAAGCATTCGGAGCATTATACATTTTTATGTTTGAATTATTTGGGTAAGGGTATGCTTTGAAATTCAATATCATGTTGACATATCATATTCCGCTTTGTTATTATATTACCAGCAAGTTAGAAAAAGAAAAACAAAAAACCGAGAGAGGCTGTCGTAAGAGCGCGGCAGCAAGAACTGTATTGTAATGTTGAAGTAATATTAATTCATTCGCTACAGTTTGGCAATGACAGTCCCCTTTTCTTTTTTCCAGGACTTTAACTGAAGAATGCTTCAAGATTGCATCGTCCAAAAACCACACATCTTCCAAGAAACCAAAGCCAGGCACAAACTGGAACTTGTTTCCAGGTCGAACCTGGAACAAAACATTCTACTGCCAGAAATTACATCCCCAATTCCTAGGCGTCACAGGACGTGACGTAAGAATCACTATCATTGCCTTTTTCACAAATACTAATACGACCCGCTTGTGTATGTTGGGTACCTTTAAAATTTTACAAAAGAATGTTCCTAAAACAACTTATAACTTTTCTGTGGCCTTTTCTAACGGCAGTGCTGAATACGTTCAAAACAACAAAGCCATGCGCAAAAATAGAAAGAAAAAAAAAAGTCAGCAACCCTCATCTACAAAGTTTCATGTTACGTAAAAATCAGATTTGACGGAGCAATTGTTACACTGAAAAAAAAATATGTACATAAAACGGTCGTTTTGAGAATTGAACAAGAACCAATATGTGAAATGTAGTATGAAACGTAGCGAAACATATTGCACGTTGCGTTTCTCTAGAAAGAGAAAGGAAAATGTACATACGCTACTAAAAATGCAGGAAAAGACGTGTTTTAGAGAGGAAATAAATAAAAATCCTAAAGGAAAGGAAATACAATATGCTGTAGATCAAATTCGGCTCGATGAGTCGTTGAGATTGAATGACTAAAAATCTATAGGACATCCCGAAGGCATGAAATGACGGCAAGGCAGTTATTCTTTAAAAGATGAAAGCCCGACTTTTTTTAAGGAAATCACACGAATGAGATTGTGATATAGTTTAAGTTCACACACGGCGGAGAGAGTGACGCTGAGAATAAAAGACGAAGGATAAGTTATGCTTTGACGAGTCGGACTAATCAATGTTCACGTTATCTTTTCATTAAAGTGGTACGGAAAAATGCCGTCGCCACGAGCTCTGTACCTCTCGCTTCAAAATCGGCTAGCGAGAAGCGCAATGCGTATCGCTTTCGTGACGTCAGGGGCCTCTGCACGGCCAAGGGCACTGTAGTTGCAAGCATTGCCGCTTGATGAAGTGAACGCCTGACAATCTCGCCAAGGACTCTACGCCCTATCGCCTGTACATGACTTGCCCTTAACGTAATTCGCGGCCATGCCGGTATTTTATTTGCCGTTTGCGTTCGGTTCACCCCGACAGTTTCACACCGCAAAAGTAGGAGCTTGAGGGAATCAGTAAGTAGAAATAACCGTCACTGCCCAGCAATGACGACATACGCAGGCTATGCATAAAGGGTACACATTCACTGGGTCCGGATGCCGTATTTGAGCGCGTTATTCATAGCTTGTTCCGGTGTGTTAAGGAAGGGGGGGTGTAACTTTGGTCTGGTAAAGGTCCTTGGCGTTCTCTGGTCAACCTCCTACCTATCGCCTGACAAGAACGGCGGTCTTGGTAGTGGAGAATGCACGTTACGGAAGCACTGTGGATTTCTTCGCTAAGCTTCGTGATTCCGTTCAAGCCCGGGTTGTTTATACATTTGCGCTGTATTTCCGTTAGTAGCGCTGGGGTAGAAGTCGTTCAACGTCGCAACTTCATCGGCCTCCAAACTACAAGGTGATATTGAAAAGTCGTTTTATTCGTTTTAATATTAGTTTTCGTGCTTTTACGAGCAGAAGACTGGTGTTTCTTAGGCGCTGACAACCAACCGTAGTTTCCGGCTAAACAAATAAAGAAGAGCTAAAATTTAGTTTCCGTACCCCTTTCATAAAACTAAATGCAAACAAGCAGATGAGGTATTCATGATGAACTAATAAGCGAATTAAGAAACAATATGTAAATGTAAAATTTTCACGTATGTTACTGAAAAACATCGCTCAAAGTGTACTATTCGAAGTTTTATTGAAATATTTAGTGCTGTTTTGTATGTTTCTATGTCAGTCCGTAAACGGTAAGGTAGCACGAAATGTGTGTTTGTGCAAAGTGGTATTCACTAGAAGCCAAATTTGAGGTAGTTGTTGTAGGGCACGTGCGAAGAACTAGGTGCCAATTATCGTCTACCACAAACCGCGATCTCGATTAGCGAGGATGCGGGCTGAACGTGCACGAACCTAAACTCCACGATGATATTGCCTTTTTAAAAACAACAAATGTGAGCTTTAGTCAATTACAGCTCAAGAAACACCGTGCGAACCTTACTATGATCACTCCTCATGCCAGAGGATTCGTTATTTTGATTTATTCTCGACCCTTGGGAGTCCTTGGGAGTCTCCACGCTCGGCGTTTTTTAAACAGTAAATGACTATAGTTCTGAGAACGCCGTGAGGACGATGAGTTTAAATTTGACACACAGGGAATACTCCCTTGCAACAATAGTAAAGAATATGAAAGCGGTTAAAAAAAAAGTCCTCGATTTTATGAACATTTTGTACGCTCATATTCATTTCGTTTGTCATTTCCTCGTAGTCTCCTTAAACGTGTTTAGTTGTTCAATGTGATAAATTAACTAGACCATTTTTAGATTCTAACACCAGGTTAGTTAATTGTGTACGGACATCCTTTAAATTTTGGTATTATAGACATGAGCAAGGTTTACTCTGGCGAACCAAAGTTGAGTTGTACTTAAAATTTATGATTATCTTTCGTAAACAGTTTTTTTTCTGTTTTTGGCTTTAAGTTTTTACAAGCGAGCTAATTGGCAATGAATTTCTAAAGTACGGTTAAACTAATGGAACAGAGTAGTGCTGCACATTCATTGGTCAGAAAACCTGGAACGTGCAAGGACACTTACTTTAAACGAATCGGTATCATCGTTTTACTCGAACGGTTGGGAAAACAGGCACAAGCGTTGTTCCGTGCCAGGGGCAAGAGCTAGGCGCATTGCATTCGCAATATTGCACAAGTCTGTTACGCAGCGGCGCCCTTGCTTAGCCGAACCCGATGCTCGTTAGATTTGTCAACCGTCTTGAACGGTATCACTTTTGACGAACAGCACATATCCTGATCTTTGAAGATGACTGGAAGCCCAAGAACTAGCCGTATCCAACGGCTTCAGGGAGCACAACTATTACCCGCGCAATTGCCAGGAAATAAGCGTACCCTGCGTGGCAATTAGCATAAATATGGCGGAGTCCTGAGAGCAGAATACGGGGTGCCTAGAACACATCTTTGAGTAGCGTGCTTAGCGTTCTGCCCGGCCCGTTTATTGAAAGTTATTCCGAAGTGTTAACAAATGGCCTCACGGAAGCCGTCGTTTCAAGGTGTCGGATGTCAGGATCCTGGTGGTTGATGCTTGAAATCCGGTAAAATGGTAGGGTAGAAAGCGAATGTCGCTGTCGTGGCAGCGGTGTCCCAAGTCCTGACTGCTTTAGCTTTCACATAACGTCAAGCTGGAGAGAGGCCTACAGCAGAACGGGTGCCTGCCGCATTCGACGCCGCTGATCTAGCACTATCTTAGTCACGGCCGGCGATGATACACGCATTTGTGACATGAGCGGGCAAAATCAATGGAGCACCTTTTAGGACGCAATAAACACACCATTCTGAGACGCGTTTCAGGCACCATAATAGTAGGCGCATGGTGCCAGAAGTGTGTCACGTACCGTCAGGGACAAAAGAATTACGTCCTTCGGAGGTTACATTGGTTTATAATTCTTTCAGCCTTATAGATAGGGCAGAAAGTCTAAAACCTATTAAAACCATTCAAATCATTCGACTGGGGCTTTGCTCCCGGTGCTCTCTGAAAGAAACAAAAATAAAAAAAAGGAAGAATGAGCAAGAAAAGAGAGAAATATAAATGAATCGACAATGGTGTGACCCCGAAACTATAACTTTCAATAATATTATCTCTTACTGAATAACTCCTTGGTATATCGTAACTGACAGCTCGAGTAGCGCATGGCGTGGTTTCAATGCGTTAGCATTAGGACGGTCGTTTTCAGGAAAATCCGCCGGTGTCTATCAGTGCGTCTGTTTGTCATTGCCATGCATGCCGTCGCGAGGAGAGTGGGTTGGTTAGCAGGTATATTGTGTACAGATATTATATCTCACCACGGTGGCGGGGAAAGAGGGAGAGGCTATGTTGCAAATCTTCCCGAATAACCTGTCTCCTACATCAGCGGGTAATATCATGTGATATCGCGAGTGAACGATCCGCGGGTCGATTTTGGAACGGTCGGGATTATCACCTGGATACTACGCGAATCGGCTTCGTATTGGGCTACGGCAAAAACAAAACCTAGAAGCGATGGCGGAAAATAACGGACGATCACTTTTGATCATGGAGGAAGCACTCGAAGAGACAATAATATTAACTGCTGCGGAGTTTTTTCTTTTTTTTTGACAATGACGCCGCGCTGCTTTTTGACGTGGCTCCACCCTTTGCACACTTTCCTTTTAGAATGCATATCCAGATAAAAAATTACCTATTCCTTTGAACTAGGCATCCAAACTATGTTTTTATTAATCAGCGCGATCGCTTTATGTCTGGTTCAATTGCTCTAAGCAAATAGGGTCCACGCATCGTAATTTGCACCGATTACGTTTTGCGGAAGTTGCTCAGGGATCTTTCTCAACAGTTACATGTAACTTACGCTCGCTTTGACCCGAATATGATTACAAAATCACAGAGAGAACTTCCAAACCGCTACATTTCTTGGGGAAGGAAATGGGGTGGGGTTGTTGACTGCACATTTACATGAAATATTTGAAGACTTCACTGCTTTGCAAGCGTTTTCCTCTCATTACACGCATTCTGAAAAAAAAAAAGAAAAACTTTCACATCATTTACGGCGTTCGAACATCTTCAGCCTTTAAAGCATGAGTACGAGTTCGCTGCAACGCCGAGGACGAGGACGCGAACAAGCTTCTTTTTACGTTCGCATTGTGATAACATTCAGCCCGTGCACTTTCCCGGGGAAGGTGCGCGGTTTGAATGTGATGCACATTCGTTCGAACGTTGAAGCACCAAATCTCAGTGACCATACATAAATGACTGCACCCATTCTCTAGAATTTCGAGCGTGTGCCATTCAAGACGCTCGGCGGATTACTACGGGACGACATTTCGCAGTGGCAGTAATAACGAAAATCGACGTTAGAAGCATTTTTTGCTCTTGTTATACACTCTAAAAAAATCCGTTCCGGAACGGTTCTTTGATTCCCCCAAAACTACTTCAGCTCGTGAAAAATCATTTCGACTCCAGCACTATCGCTCCCTGGCGCACAAGAAAGGAAACTGGGCGATGAAAAGTATTTTTTCGGAACACAAAAAGGAGCTCAGGGGAACCCCTTATAGGTATTCCACGAAAAATTCTTTCGGGAAGAGGGAGGGGGGGAGGGGGGTTGAAACAATCCGAAATATCCGTGAGATTCATTTTATTAACAGATATTGTTTTACTGTGTAATATTGCTCTTTGCTCGTCGGCGGGTCGAGTAGACGTACTAGGATAGGTGAAATGGCGGCTGCTTTCTCCAAAGCGTGGAAGAAATTTGTGTTTTTTCTATATCTAGGTCTCGTCTAAAAAATATACTGCACCGACTATGGCCTCGAACGTTTCGTATAGCGCTGTTCTCAGGTAACGTGACATCGATTAAAAAGTGAAGTCGGCTGCTACAATGTTATATATGCAAAATGCTTTTGCGAGGAGTTGCACCGTGGCGCCCCTATCTTGTCGCACGCTTCCTATAGTGCACACCAGGAAATTTGGAGTGCCTACTTTATCGCAAATCACTGGGGAGATTCAGTCTGTGCTGTAGCACTGAGCCTGGCGAAGCATCATGCTGAGTTCCTAAGCGCGGACTGTTGTTTTTAGGTATAAACATATTTTAAACCCTGGTCTTTCGCCGATTTATGTCTTCACAGATTGAAGCAATTGGCCTTTACTAGTGCTTTGCTGGAAAGTAGGCGCTCCAGGTTGCTGGTGTCATGTTTGATGTCATTTCAGGCGCTTTTTACCAGAAGTGAAAATTGTAAGGCATAAATTATTGACGGAGCTGCGAAACCGAGGTGTAAACTTTTTAAAGTTTTGTGTTTGTCAGAAAACGTATTAAAGTTTTGTGACAATCGACACAGAAGCTAATTCTTGAGCCTTCTAATATGTGTGTTTCGTTTACTAATAGGACGAGGCATACAGTCCCCGATGCAAGCTACTGTGCTGTCCTAAAAACCACCCTACGTGCTTCGTGAATGACATGGTGGATGGCATGGGATGTGGTGGTGATAAGGTAAGCGTAAAATCTTCTAGTTCTTTTTGAAATCCTTATGCTCCATGGTGTTTGGCAAAACCTGGCAGAGTTTTTCCTTCCCCCGTTGCTGGGTCGCTACGAGGAATTAAAGATCATGCATTGGAAAAAGTGACGGCAACCTTCTTTTTACAGGCCGGCTTCTTTTCTGCATGGGGGCAGACCCATCCTTTTCTGTTTCATCGACCCTTCCCCTCCCGGCAGACGATGCTATATTTAAACGAAGGCGTGCAACAGCTCCCGCTTAAAATCTCCGTAGTGCTCAATAATCAAAGTCAGCTAAATAGGCAACAACAGGGCACGAAATGGACTCGAACACGTCATCAGCGGTCGGCAGAGACTCGATCGCCTTTAATTGGTGACGACACGGGTTTCAACGAACCTCTGACGCAGCACTCGTCTCTTTGCCCTCCTGGCGTACTCAGAAATGTCGTAATCTGCAGGGAAAAGAACAAAATATTTTGGGGCTAAGACGGTTGGCAAGGAGGAAGGCTGAGTACAAATGGTTCGCGTCACTTTGAGTGTAGAAAGGCTTTACGTAGAACACGTTGACATCAGGGGTTTTCCTACCCTTGCTCCCGAACAGCACGGGGAAGGAGAACTAGAAAGAACACTGAAACGAAGGAGAGGCAAATAGAGGGAAAGAAAGTGAAATTTCTGACGTCTTGTGTAATGCTCTTAATTTTCTGCCTGCGCTTCAGCTTGTTGCGTTGCTTTTTATATTTGCTTTTTTTGTTTTGTTTTTGTTTCGAACTAATGTTGTAATGCGAAACTAGCAACCGGTGATGATGGACCATGATGAACTAAACCCTTGAGACAGGATAGAAAGACGTCGAAGAACTCCTGCTCTTCCTCTCCTTCCTCGCCGCCTTTCTCCCTAGTCTCATGGCTTTAGCTCATCATGATCAATTGGTCTGTAGGTCGCTTGACGTCACGTCACGCCACTTCGCTTAGCCGCCTCGGTGAGTCCGAAGCGAGAGCACTGGCCTACGGATCCCCATGTGGCGGGTTCGAATCCCGGCCGGAGGCTTATTGCGGAGGCTTATTGCGGAGGCTTATTGCGGAGGCTTATTGCGGAGAAGGCGCCGTGTAACCGAGCTTCGGTTGCACGTCAAAAAATCCCCAGGTGGTCCAAATTAATCCTCAGTCCTCCGCTGGGGCGTGCCAGATGCCCGTCGTTGGTTTGGCACGTAAAACCCCCAAATTTGTTTTTTTGACGCCACTTCGCCTATGCGTGAGTCACGGGTGTTCACTTCTGGCGCACCCGCCATCGTCATCCGGCACGATCCCAGGGTGTAAGATAGACAGGTGGGGAAACGGTCCATAGAAGCCTGCCGCAGCGCCGTGACCGGATTGTGTACTCGTCTGCTTGCGGGCACTGCCGATTTGCGACAGATGGCGCTGCTGCGAGAAGAAAAAAATCGGAATCGGATTTGCATGGAATTTTATGGAAGAGTGCGCAAAATAAACCGAGAGCACGACAGTAGTCCATTGAAAATCTACGAGAAACCATCTCCGTCAGTTTAGCCGGTCGCCCACCGGGAGTGAGTTCGCGGTGCTTCACATAGATGGCGCCACAGAAAAAGAGAAAACCGAGGGGGACACAATCCGGTCGCTCATTTGGCTCTCGTTTCCCCACCTGTCCATCTTAAACCCTGCACGATCCCGTGGCCGAATCTCCAGCTGGCACAAACAACACATCTGGGACAAGTGAAAAAAGCACGGCTTCTCATAATCAACTCGTCTCATTTAGTGTGTCACCCACACGTAGCTCTACAGAAAATTATGCAGCATAGCACTCTTATGCACCGACCAAAGGAGCTAGGGATAACACACGCTGAAGACATTTAGCATCAGGATTTTCGTAAGTAGTTTCACGCTTGTGTTTCTTACGGTTACGCTAATTCCGCTTCTTAAACGCGAATATACTCTCAGATTTTGTCGTACGCACCTTTTTTGTCACAAGATCGTTTCGCGAATAAGCTCTTTTACCTGCTACGGACGACGACAAGAAGGCAGACGGGTCATACAAATACGACGCTAGAATAAATCGTATCTTCGTCGTCATGACCACTGGCGATGTAGCGGCATTGCCGTGCTTAGGCCCTATTGAGACGGGGAATTTCTCCTTGCAACTTGACGTCGCAACACTGCCGCTTGCGTTCACACGCGGGAACCAATTGCTGCAATTTGCCGTCATCATGATCACATTTTATTTTTGTTACACTGTAAGACATACAGTTACGCGCTATAAACGTGTTTTATACATTTAAATAGCATCGAGAATACTGACTCATCTCTCTGAAACGGTTTATTTTCAAAAAGGATCACTTTCAAACCGGAACCAAGTCTTTAGTTGTCATTATCACGGACACGGTGTATCACGTGAAAATACCGCGTCCCTGACTTCCCTGCTTCGGCTTGAAACCTCTTCGAATTGTTCCGAGTTGATCGCTTGTTTGGAGCCAGTCGCGATCTCAGCAATTCGTGTCGATATAGGAAAAGCTGGGGAGCAACCCGCCAGCAACCCCAAAATTGCTGAGAAACTTTCCCCGTCTGTAGCGGGCCTTAGTAATATCATCATACTCACCGCTCACGTCGCGTTGGTCGGCCATAACACACGCGAGGCAGCTCCGCCGGCACCACGATGTGCTACATCATATTCAAGCGGGGTTCCGGATATATAAAAGACGTAGTTTGCTTATCAGGGGTGACAGGTATTTTCATTTTTTCCGACTGAGCTCCGCTTATAAAACGCTTAGGGCACACTCCACAAATTAATCTAAAACCAAAAAAGAACTTTGAAGACACATGAGAACTTTATATGATATCTTATTCACAGTTAAAAAAAAAACAAAAAAAAAAACACTGAATATTTTTAATACTGTATTGTAAATAGTTTATAAGGAGGATATTTATTGTTTTCTTATTGTTTTTCAATAGATTTTAGATTGTTCCTCGATAATTATGGGGAATTTCAAATTGCGGTTGTGTTCTTCTCCGAGCGACATGACATTTCCTGAATGAAAACATGACATTCTTCGTGAACCATTATAACACTATCGATAGCTTTATGATAGTTTGCTATCGACAGTTGCTCGACATTTGACTCTAAACAATTTCACGATAGTGGACCATTGATAGAATGCTATCGAGCTCTGCAATTGTCGATTATCGATAGTATGCTACCTATAATTTTATGATATCCGACTATCGATAGTAAACCAAGAATAGCCTTACGATATTTGACTATCGATGGTATACTACCGATAGCATTGTGGATAGTTTTACGCTAGTCGACTATCGTTTCACTATAGATACTTCCTTCAATATCGATTCTTAAACTTGGCTTTGCTTATCGATTGTATTGATAATTTTACGTTAGTCGACTCTAGGTAGCACTATCGACAGTTTCTTCAGTTTCGAGGGTTAATTTTGGCTTCCACTATTGATAGTACTCCCCACAGTTGTTCACCGCTGGTTAAAACACAACAGCTACGATATGTTACAGCCAATCAAGCGGCGTATACAATCTAGCTCGTGATTGCAATGCAGAAAGGCGACGAGCACCATGACAATGCACTTTTGGGGCTGCTTGGGTGGTTCGATCGGTTCGCATGCATTTGCTGCGGTCCCTTGTAAAACGGAATACACTCTAAAAAAAAAAAAAAAAAAGGCTCGTGCGTTTGCTTTTACCCGCACAACACTCGGGGAGCCAATCACCACAACTTACGGAAACAGCCCAGCGAATGACAATGCCGAAACATATGTTTAGACCAAAAAACGCAGTCCGAGTTGTGACATTAAGCAATGCAATCGTGGCGTTTGGCATTGCTTAATGTCAGAACTCAGACTGCGTTTCTTGGTCTAAACATATGTTTCGGCATCGTCATTCGCTGAGCCGCCTCCGTAAGGTGCGGTGATTGGCTCTCCGAGTGTTGTGCGGGAAAGTTGACGCACAGGTTTTTTTTTAGAGTGTATACGCCGGCGCAGATGGTCTCTGCTCTTGATGGGGTTGGCTTTCGACTTAAAAAGAATGCCTGATACGTTCGTGCTCCCAGACTCGACAGTGCCCTATCCTTTACTTTGATTTTTCTATACGTCACTGTTTTGAGCAAATCGGTTCTGTGGCCGCGACCTAGGAACGCGAAAAAAAAATGCTTCGGGGGCGCTTAAGCTTTTCCTTTAAGAGAAGAACGCGATAGCATTATCGGTCCTCGATCGCAGAGCATTCTTATATAATTAAATAGGTTAAAACCGGGAGCTGAAGCACGGACGTTACAAGAAACATGTATGAGAAGGACAGGAGCCTGTGCTTGTCGCACGTATTTCTTGTTTTGGGCGTGTTTCAGTTCGCGCTTTTAGATTTTTAAATGGCACTAACCAACTACGCCCAACCAAAGATTTATTGTTTCTCATATAAACACGCGTTCCTCCCAGAGCCGTGCAAGCGTGTGTGCGTGGCCTAGTCGGTAGTGTCACGTGTCACGTGACGTCACACGTGGCTTCGTGCGTTGCATTATGGGATTTTTCTGATCCCGCCGACGCCGGATGTTCTGCGGCGCGAGCTCCTAAACGCTATCGCGTTAAGACCCAAAGCGTACCTCCGAAAAGCTACGGAAAGAAAGCTCCTCCTTTGAAAAAGATAGCTGGTTATTACATGCTTTTTTAGAACAATAAACAAAAAAAAAAAAAAAAAAACGAGCAAACAAAACACGTTATAAGAACACAATTTATTATTTCTTCTAAAAGTTCGAACATGCAAAAAAAAAAAACATTTATAGCAAACGAGTTGCCAAACGTTTATTTTGTATTTAACGTAGATAGTTTTTGACCTCAGAAAGCTTAATTGCAAACGAGGTTCACACTATACAGGATGTTTTTGTATTTTTTTAATATTTGTTAAAAAAAAATCGTGAGACCTACACTTATGAGGTGTTTGTGCAGGTGAGTTATCCGGCCAGGGGGACATAGTATACAGAGATAGTCGCAACTCTCAGTCGGCTAATTAATTAAAATTCGTTAATCCACTTTTTAATTAGGGCAAATAGACATGTAGTTCCAATTAGAAACTTGCTGAGCATCATAGTAAACCCCCAAATCACCTCTTTTTAGAGAATATAAGGCCGGGGTAGCATTTTACGGCGTTCTCTAAAAACGCTTCATGTGAACCCGAATCTAGATTTCGGTATCTTATCGGAGCGCACCTTTGCGCCCGGGGTCCTGCTCCCCGGTGGTCGGGGCGCGAAGCCACCTCCTCGCCTCACTCGTAGAATGGAGGGAAGTAGGGCTTACGTGTGTTGCCTGTCTCAGCCACTGGGGAGCAGGACCGCGGACGCTTAGATGCGCTCCGATAAGAAACCGAAATCTAGAAACGCGTCCAAATGGACCGCTATTACAGAACGCCTTAAAATGCTGCCCCTGTGTTATATCCTTCTAAAAAGCGTTGATTTAGTGGATGATGCTCAGCAAGTTTCTAATTGGAACTATATGTCTTTTTGCACTAATTAAAAAGCTAATTAACACATTTTACTTAATTAGCTGACTGATAGTTACGACTATCTCTCTATACTATGTCCCCCTGGCCGTATAACTCACCTGCACAAACACCTCATAAGTGTAGGTCTCACGATTTTTTTAATCAAATATGAAAACAAATATGAGAGAATAACAAAAACACCCTGTATAAAGAAACATTCAGTTAAAGCTGCCTTGTATATTTCACTGTCTAGTAACTCAAACGTTACATTCAAACTTTGAAACCGGAGCTGTAAAAAATTGATGCTGCTTTTCTCGCCTTTTTCTTTGACGTTGCTCGTGACACCTCTCCGCAGGTGTGCATGAGGCACGTGTGCGCAAGACCGGGCGGGCACCCAACGGCACCGCCACGCACGACGACCACGCGGTCTACAACCACTACGAGGGCTACCACACCGAGGAGGCCTTGGCGATGGACAGGGCTAAATAGGGGCAGAAGGCCTGCCGCAAAGCTCTTGTGAAGACTGTGATTCGCAGCCACCAGCCATCTACCGAATTCAAATGAACAGTTCGCTGTCGAACGCCCAATGCACAGCATATATCCCGCCTTTTTAGGATGCACGGGGAGATGGCTAAAAATAAAATGTATACAAGCACCAGTGTCAATATTCACCAGACATGCCCATTTTCTGGTTTAATTAATGTAAGTTGCTTGGGTAGTGCCTGCACTTCAGTACAAATAAAATAGCGGCCATAAGACAATGGCATGCGAGAAGGACAAGACAGGGACTACCCAAGTCCCTACCCCTGTCGTATTTGCGCTATTTTATTTGCATTTCTGGCTTGTGGCCTTAATGCGGTACAAGAAACAAAAGTGGAGCAAGAAGACAGAATTTACGTCTCTTTTTTTCGCAATCTGTCCAACCACTGGCTGCGTGTAGGCCGCCACCGCCCCCCTCGGGTATGGTGCTGCCGTCGTTCTGGGCCCCGGCTTGAGGAGGCGGTAATAATCTAGATTTAAAAGCTAAAAATAATGCGTTTTGCCACTATGGGGATTGCTTGGGGAAAGAGTATAACTTCTCTATTGGCAGCATCGGAGTACGTGTGTTCATTATACACCTCGTGGCTTGTTTGTACTCTAAGAAGCGAACGTTTTTAGATCCACCAGTCGACAAGCTCATCGAAAGAGCCTTGTTCGAAAACGGCCCTTCTTGGTTGCCTGCACGCGAGCAGATATGGGCGAATAGCGATTCTAGCGTCACTGTTCCGACAGCCCAGAGAGAAGGACCGTTTTCGACCGGCGCTCTTTTACTCCGTCAGCCGTGCTGGGCCAGTTGTACTGGGCGAGTGTCGTTTTGCCGAAAAGGAACGGAGCACGCGCGCGCTTATCGCAGCTGGCCTTGGCGGCGGGAGGCGTGTTTATGAACAGGGCCCCGTACGGTTTACCCTAAGAGGCTCGGCAACACCACTTCCGGGTGATTAGCCGGATGTGGAAGAAGACGCCACTCACATCACGCTTAGCAACGTCAAGCAACAGCTAGACGTGATTAGGGAACGTCGGGAGGGACTTTCCTAGGCACTCGTTCGTGTATGATCGGTAGCCGCTGAGACGCCCTAATGTGCATTTACGCCACCGTCATAACAACACCGGCTTGATAACCACGATCATGGGAAATCGAAGCGAGCAGGCGATTGCACCGTTGCTGATATGCCCTACCGGCCACGCCGAAATGTATGCATTAAGCTGTGAATTTGTCAAGAACAACGCGGCTGCAGGTCTTATATGCGCGAAGGTTGCAAGCTTCGACAGCCACTTTCTTCGGTCTAGCGCCTACATCTTTCAGAGAAACCGAGCGAACCACAACCACGGCATCTTTTGCCCGAGTGCATAATAGCTACCGCAGATTTAAGACCTACGCTTCGCGGCTGACGCGAGCGAATGTAAGGGAGAGACGCCGGCGGGCTGCCCATATTTTGTAGGCGAGAAACGTATTGGGGGGGGGGGGTGGTGCATTTTGCCACGCCGTGACATTTATGCCAGACAGATACAACCACGTTTCTTCATCGATACGCCACCTGAACGTCTGGGCAGCATTGCCGGAACCATGTACGCGATCATTTTCTATTTGCGCGAGTGCTCGTGCACGGCTCCTCTGTTTCATACTTGGCGTGCAACGCTGTCAAAGCTACTGGCGCGAGCGCGTGGCTTCATCTATGGCAGGGGTGGCCAAGCTGCGGCTCGCGAGCCGCATGCGGCTCTTCGCGTGTTAAAGTGTGGCTCGCGGCTCCCTCCCCTACCCCCCCCCCCCCCCCTTTCCCGCACTCCCCCGCCTCCATTCCGGTCACACCGAGCACTTCCCCAGAAAGAGAAATGAAATTCGTTTTAAAGCGAAAGTCGGGTTGCGGTTTGGTAGTTTTGAGCTACTGCTACCTTACGTACAGTTGGGACTGCTTTTGACTCAGATGGATTAAAAGTAGCCCGTGTTTCGTTTATTGCCCTAAACAAAAATATGCCCCCCCCCCCCCCCCCCCCCTTCCCGCGGCTCTTGAAAGTTTCATGGTTTTATTTACGGCTCTTGGGTCGGGTCAGCCTGGCCACCCCTGATCTACGGTTTGGTTTGCGTGACAACGCGCGCAAATGATGAACGAGATCAAGCCCCATGCTCGCGCCAGTAGCTTTGACAGCGTTGCACACTAAGTATGAAACAGACTATAGACGCCAGCAGAGTACGTTGATGTTTTTATTTAGCTAACGGACAAGAAAGCGACGGCTCACTCGCGCGGATATTGACGCTCGCTGAAAAACCACGCGTACGCGAAAAGCCAAATAGCCATTTGCTGTTGCCCTATTCTGTGGCGGAAAAGTGTACAGATGTGTCTAACATTAATTACAGGCTGTGAAAAATGCAACACATCGATCGCGAACATCCGATCACCGGTTGTTTATGCTTCAAAACTTTGGGTGATGACAGACCCGCCGTCTCGATATTCAGTGGGTTTTAGTGCTTGGGCACCACTGAATTATTCTCTAAATAGGGAGGCTGTTGTCAAACTTGGTGGTGCCGCGTATCGCCTACCGTTTACGAATTCGCCAAGTGGCCACGTTCAATGCTTGCCAACGAGAGAAAGAGAGAAATACTGAGAGGGAATAAACTTTACTTTAACAACTCTATTCCGAGTCATTTCTCACCAACAACGCGCCTGGCCACGCGCCTGTGGCCTGTTCACACTCACTCCTTTACCTGGTGTATACACTCCGTGCGACGCGACTGGCGCGCCGCCGCGCGGCCGGTACCGAAGGTAGGCAGTGAGCACCCCTGAGAAAAGGAAACCGAAACCACGCCGCGTAGGCGTGTACGCGTTGAAGTCGGAGTGGTGCTGTTGCGCTGGGTTCACAGCGCTGGGTTCACAGCTTAATGACGCAGCCTGTGCTGCGTCATTAAGTGCTTCAATAGTTATGCGTCGTATCTCGTGGAGACAAAGTTTCACAGTTTTTCACCTCGCCGATGTTTTGTGGGACAGCGACAACGATGGAGCCGTGCCATACGACGGGAGAAATTTGGTGTCCCGATCATGTCTGCCACTGTGTTGACACGGCTGACATATTCTACACTGCCGCTTTGCGCTCTGCGTTTGTTTTCGTACCAGTAACGCCTACATGTGTCAGCGCCGATGGGACGAACTGAAATGCCATCCCACACTCGCGGGTATGCAGTGCCAATTTCGTTGGAGGAATGCCCTCCAAAGAAGTTTCGTCCCCATCGTACGAGTCGATGATAATTCCGGACAGATATGGGACACAATCTTTACTTCATGAAGAAAGATTCGAACGGTAAAAAAAGTGACAAATATAAATCTAAAGAAAACAACCATGAAACTCGGAATCACTGGAGAATCGGCGTTTGAGTATGGAAGTTTATGTGGTGTGCTTTCTTTCTTGATCAGCCTCATTTTGGATGGGGAAACACTGACACCCCGAGTTCTGTAGACAACAAATTTTTTTCTCGGCTTTAGAGCCACCTATTGCAAAGTGGTTCGAACTGGAAGTACCGTCCACTGGTCCCTTCCTACCTGTAAAGTGTGCACCTCCCACGATGAGTGGTATTTTCTGGCAGCCTTTGACGGTCAAAGCCAGTTCCCATTTAGTTACGCCGCCCAAACTAAATTTCCATATGGTTTCGCTGTGCCAACTATTTTTGTTATAATAAGTGTTGTGCCAAGTGACGGTCATGTAAAAGTACCTGTGGGCCGAAAATCAGCACCTCGCACAACAGGTTATTACACAACAGCTGACCGCAAAAGTCCTTGGCGGCTAAACCGTGTGTTGGCCGACAACTTTGTTTTCTCGGCTTTGGAACCACCTTTCGTAAAGTTGTTTCAATTGGAAGTACAGTCCACTAGTCCCTTCCTACCTCTAAAGTCTCCACCTCCCCGACCAGTGGTATTCTCTTGACAGCCTTTTCGTGGTCAAAACCGGTTCCCATTGAGTTACGCCGCCCAAACCAAATTTTCACCTGGTTTCCCTATGCCACTTTTTTTTTGTATAATAAGTGCTGTGTCATGTTACTGTCAAGTCCAAGCACCTGTGTTCCCAAATCTGCACTTTGCACAGCCCGCTATAACACAACATTTTGGGTCCAATATTGGATATACCGTACAGCTTTATTTCTTTATTTGTTAGAAACAACTTTCCCACCTGCCGTCTTAATGAAACTGGGCACACTTCGTGCAGAAACTTAGTGTACATCTCACTCGTCTCCAATATCACCGTTCCAGCAGTCCTACGTTTACAGCGACGAGCGAAATAAATTTCCCACTCAAAGCAATTATGGTGGCGGCCGTCTTGCTTTTCAGAAAATTGCTCCAACTCCTTTTTTGGCCGCAACTAGAGAAATTACCCCTTATAACGACTAAAACTCAATATATAGAAAGAGGAGAACAGCTAAATGCCCTTCTTAGGTCTGCCCCAGCACCCATGCAACGTCACCCTCAACGTATCGGCTCAAAAAGCAAAAGTTTCGTCCGTGCGCGCTTCCGCCGCCACAGCTTGGCATGCGAAAAGGCGCCGCAGGCTGCTGAACGCGCCTCACGGTCGAACGCCAGCTCCTCCGCTAGCGGCGCTGCGCGCGTTTTTCAAAGCGCCCCGTATAGTTCCCGCACGGAGTGTATATGCTGCACTAGTCATCGAAGTTATCCTAGATGTACTCACCCTTGACCCTGCAATGACCTGTGTCCACACATGTTCCGAAGCAGAATGGTGAAAACGAACTCGTCCACGATGCTTGGAACCCGTCATATTGTTTTAGCACTGAGGAACAGTGTCCGAAGTGCCTTGGAGCCCCGATATCAAAGATACTCCTTTTACAGAGTATACATTCTACTTTAGTAAATGAAGTTGCGAAAAAGAGATGCAATGAAACATGGGTGTTTGGGAGAGCTTTACATTTTAACAAACCAGTTTAGTTCCGACGACTTCCAAAAACACACGTCTCATCTCTGTATTCCATCTATCTCAACCATGGTGATGGTGACTGCGTGTCCGTCCTTAAATCTCGCTCTAAAATACTTTGACTTCTGCTGTACGTTTTCTAGGTGGGCCATCTAAACCCTAGTAACAGAGCATTTCGTTTTTCTTTAGTCGGTAGGGAAACTGATTACAGTCACGCACATAGATCAC